CCCATATTGTATGGGATAACCGATGCCTGAGCTATGAAAGGAACTTGATTTGTTGTTAATATAAGTTATAATCATGAATGTCTGACAACATTTATAAGCATTATTCGAATAAGATAACTACTATAATCATGTTAATAATTTATGATATGATTGGAACCTCCTTTGTATGTGGTTTCCAATTGAATAATAAGAGTTTATACTATACTTGTTTGATATACCATCAGTAGATCCTTTAACCTTGACATTTGTCGTTATCATTATCTAATCCTTATATTGATCTTTCATCTCAAAGTTCTCATCAACTTCTTTTTTTTCTTTTTCTTTTCATTATTATTATAATCTTTTTTTTTATTATTATTATTTTTTTTCATTATTATTATAAGTAATATTATTGTTGTTGTTGTTTTTATTTATAATTTATAAAATTAATCTTCCTATGGTTCGATCTTGGTCTTGCCGGCTTATTTATTACTTCGACACTCCTACACTTGGGAGAAAATATCAATCTTTTGGTCGTGTCAATCGATCATCATCAACTTGTTTATCGATCATCAATTTCTAGATCAACGTGCTACTTTTTTTTAATTCTTCCTTCCAACAAGGAGAAAATACAATTAAAAAATTTAATCCTAAGAATAAGCATACAGCAACCTTATTGATCAAACGGAATATAGAGTTCTTAACGTTAAAAAGTTACAAAAGAAAGAAAGATAATGCATAAACCAAAATATAAAGAAAATATATAAAATGGTAAATAAATAAAGTTATAGGCATAAGTTTTAAGAAAATAAGCTAAGATAAGCAAAAGAAAAGCAATAAAAAGCATAAGTTTATAAATAAATCATATGAACTATATATATTGGGCTAGCTATTATTCCAAGTTGTTGGATGGTCTATTTATAATATTATAAAAATAGAGTTTCATGTAAATATAAAATCCTAATTGTATATAAATTGTTTTTGATAAAGAAAAACCTCATAATCTCAATCATAATACAATATGTACTTTTTTTATTTGCATACATCCTTTTGACAATTATGTATATTCATGTCAATGTATAAAATCAACTAGTTAACTTGTTAAAGGCTCTTATTAATATGTATAAGACTTAATTGTTAGATCGTTAATGTGAACACTAATCTCTTAGTTGATTTCACCTTTCTTTATTGATCATTGGTCAATTCAGCATTTTTTATAAGCTTGCTTAAAAACTAACCATAAACAGATATTGTTTTAATCATATAACATATGGATGAATTATTTCTAATATAAATAAATCCCTTTACATTCCCTTATTTAGGATAAATATAATAATATTGACCCGAATTTTATGTCTAAATCAATAGAAAAATTGACCTTGAATGATGTGCTAATTCGAGTATAAAATGTCATGTTTCATTGTTTTACATGTCATGATTATTTCATATGTCATCTAACTAAACAATTTTAAATTGAAATGTTTTTTTGGATTTTAAGCATAACACTTAGATTTCAAGAAATACAAAATTAAATTATAATTAATTCATAAATTCTTTAATCAATACAAATCCTCAATTCATCCCTGCAAACATTTAAAGATTCTTGGAAAAAGAAAAAACACAAGCTTACTTCTCTATTCAAATATGCAAATGGTATCTTCAAGGTTTGCATAACAAAACCTTATTTTATCACCTACTTTGAGTACTATATAAATTATACAAAAATTTATCATCAATGATGATTTAAAAAATTAAAGAATGTTTTGATCCATACTAAAAAGAGATTTTATAATAAAGAAATAATTTCTTCATATTAGAAGTAAAAAGATTTTTTCATTCTAGGATAACCATATAAACCTCAACATATAAAACAAATTCCATCTTAATATGGCCTAATGTTAAAAAATTTCCATGCAATCAATTTGATTCAATTGAGTTTATAACCCTGACACATATTTTCCCCCCTTTTTAATATATGTTTGTATTAAAAACAAATTCCATCTTAATATGGCCTAATATTAAAAAATTTCCATGCAATCAATTTGACTCAATTGAGTTTATAACCCTAACACATATTTTTCCCCCTTTTTAATATATGTTTGTATTGAATGAACATCATCTTTTTATGTTAAAAAAATAGCCCACAATAGAGCGTGAGCAACATCTAATTATTTTTATAAGGCCTTTAATAAAAAAATATTTACTTATATTCATACTCAATGTTTTATGAGATATTGTAACTTTTAATGTGAGATTTTACTAAGAAATTTTAAATTGGAAAATTTACTAAAATTTCATCAGAGTTTTCTTTATACCGAAAAATCTCAAGTTATCGACTAAAGCCCGTTGCGTATTAATATTCAACCAATCCACATCTTATTCATTGTTTAATCATCATGGACTCATCACACCACAACTCAAATACATTGTATCCATAATATGTCATGATTGTTCAAAATAAAATATGCAAATCTGTAAATAAAAAACAAATTTAAGGAGTATAAATACACATTAATTATTTGGGATATAATAAAAGAAACTAATATAACATCATAAATTTTACGTGTGTAGGTCGAACTTAAAATTATATAAATTTCAGGATAATTTAATATTTAATTTCAAATCTCAATACACTATAAAAAATGGATCTAATATAAGTTAAACAAAATCATCTTGGAATGTCCTATATAACTATCATTTTGTTCATGGTTGTAAGGCACTTGTAGTTAATATTAATTAAGATTACATCATATAAATTAAAAGCAAATGTAATAATACATTTAAATTGCAACTCAAAATTATCAATAATTTCTTTTCAATGATCAATAGAATTCATATGTTAGCCTATAGAATCCGTTCATTCTTTCATCCCTCACCGACATTATTTTCATTTTTAAAAAATTAAATTTCATTGTCTACTATCGAGCATTAGTTCCATTACCAAAAACTAATATCTTCATTCCTTATCAGGCATTATTCCCACTTTTAGGAATCTAAGTTCGTTGCCCATCACCAGAAACTAATTCCTTCACCCCTTACTAGGCATTATTTTCATTTCTGGAAATCTAATTTTATTGCCCATTACCGGGCATTAGCTTCATTACCGAAAACTAATTACTTCACCCCTTATTAAACATTATTTTCTCTTTCAGAAATCTATTTTTTTCATTATCATACATTATTCCTTCTTCCATAAATCTAATTTTACTGTCTATTATCGAGCATTAGTTTTATTACCAAAAACTAATTATGTCACTTCTTATCAAGCATTATTCTCACTTCTAGGAATCTAATTTCATTGTCCATTACCAGAAACTAATTCTTTCACCCTTTACCAGATATTATTCCTTTTTTTTTTAAATCCACCAGAAACTAATTCTTTCACCCTTTACCACATATTATTCTTTTTTTAAAAAAAATCTAATTGTGTTGCCCATTACTAGGCATTAGTTCTATTATTGAAAATTAATTTTTTTGCCCTTTATTGAGCATTATTCTCACTTCCAGGAATCTAATTTTGTTGCTCATTACAGGGCATTAGTCTCATTACTGGAAACTAATTCTTTCGTCCTTTAACAGGCATTATTCCCACTTTTAGGAATATAATTTTGTTTTCCATTACCAAAACCTAATTCCTTCACCCCTTATCGAGCATTATTCCCACTTCTAGGAACCTAATTTTGTTGTCCATTATTGGAAACTTATTCTTTTACCTTTTAACAAACATTATTTCTATTTTTAGTAATCTAATTTTATTGCCATTTACTGGGTATTAGTTCAATTAGCAGAAACTAATTCTTTCTGCTTTACATTACAATTTTAGCACAGAATATCATTACATCACCAAAACTATTGTTATAAACTAAATAAAAAAAGATTGAGGTGTATGACACCTACCTATTACAAAAACTCAAGTGGTACCTTCCTAGCTGCACAACTCTTATGGCTTTTCCTGTACTAATAAATACGTCACATTATTTTTCATTCCATGTGCATCCCTCAATATTAATATTCTAAATCAATTTATTTTATCTTAACCTTCATTTCTCATTCAATCCTTATTTGATTTTTATTTTTTCTTAAATTTATTTTCTTAGTTATCTCAACAAAAAAAACTCTCATAACATATATACACATATATCTTCTCAAACTATATTTTTATAACCATTTCTGATTTAAAACTCACATCAAGGATACCTAAAATTAAGCAAGCAATTAGGCATATAAAATTTATTTATTTAACATGTTCTTTCAAAAACATATAAAAAGTTCCAACAAAACTCAATAGCAATGTTCTTAACATTTATAGTTCTATATTTGTATGATCATAGTTATACATATATTATATCATTGAAACATTCTCGTATTTACATCAATTTCTTGATATTTCCTTCCTTTACATAAGAACTCAAACATATTTACAATAACATTCATCTTTTAAGTTCAATAATTCTCCATAAATTTCAACAACATAAATGTCTAAGTTAATCTACGTAATGTAATGAAACTCTAAAATTCTTTACTTTGTAACATATACATTAATCTACTACAATATCATTTAACTACATATAATTATATTTCATGCAACATAATCACTTATTAATCAGTCATTAGTCCCTTAAGGACCCCATGGTTTTCTTTATCATTTTTACCTAAATTAATACCCAACACAATTTAATCTAACCCAATTGACCAATTCATAGTCAATTTATATTTTCCTTAAATTTTCACTCTAAACTATAGCATCAATTTCATGATTTTAACCTCAATTGTTACCATTTCATATAAAATTTCTAGGTTAGGTTTTAAACTCCTTATAGAATAATAATCAAGTCTTTGAACCCCAACCAGTAAAATATTCCTTGTTTTTCCATTTTTTTCCCTTTTTTTCTTCACCTTCTCTCTCTAACTCAATCTTTTATCTCTTTGATCTTTTTTTTTGGATTAAATGTAAGTAAATATTATAGATCAAAAGAAACTAAACTAGAAAACCAGCAAGTCATATATACAAAATATGTATAAACCAAAAGAAAGAATTAATAGGAATAGGCTTCTAATGTAAACGACATGAACCAAATAACATGAAACACTAAAAAGCAGACAAAAAAGAGCAAGCCTCCTAAAAATAAGAAAAACACTGATTATAAAGCAGCAGTTAGCTAAGGAACTAAGCAATCCTGCTGGTACCGAACTCTTCAAAATACTAAACCCTCACTCAATAGCGGTTCTTAATGAAGAGTATCGAAAATTAAATAGCTCCTTTTCATTTTCTGATGAATATTCTGTAAACTCATTCAAGTGATATCAAACTCCATGAATAGGAAAAATGATTCCTTTTTGAATACCATAATCAGCATCACCAAGATAATATTTCTCTATAAATTAAAAAAAAAACCTATTACTATCTTTATCTAATAAGATATTTTATATGTTTATTGCATATAATAAATACTTTATTATATAACTTCTGGAATTTTTAGACCATTAGGTCTTAATAATGCATCACCTAAAACCTGAGAATCATGTGCACTTCCTTCCTAGCCAACTAAACATATATAAACTTCAAATCAAAAGTTATAGCTGCTAAAATATTTTACGTTGTTCCTTCTTTTCGACCTCAAAACTTTCCTTGAATCTTAACAGGAACATGGATACCATCAATAGCTCATGAATCTTAACAGGAACATTTGCAGGAACATGGATACCATCAATAGCTCCTATACAATCCTATATAAATATGAAAAATAATTTATAACCTTTTCTTTTAGATGTAATTAATTAATGTATAAAAATATTGGTATTGTTCTCATACCTTAAAATAAGGATAAAATCTTCAATTATTCATTATCTCTGTTTGAACTGTATCCTCTAGGTGTTTAATAAGGTATTTGTATAACTTAAGAACTGCTTTTTAAATAATTCTAAAGTAACAATGGATAGTTTCAACAGACCTATAATATATACCACTAATAAAACAAAATCTTTAGTTTTGGCCTATAATTTGTAAGAATATAATTACTTGCTCCCTAATAGACATATTTTGAGTTGATCATAATAGGTCATAACTTGTGAGAACATCACACAATATATATAAAACAATTGGTTTCATAAGAATTTGTTCAACGCAATGTCTATCACCTCGATTCAAAATACTATTAATATGAAATTCTCATTGAGCAATTGCATTTATACGTGGTTCTCTTGGTATATAAATTATACTTCTGTTTTGTTCAATAATAGCTACACTTGTAGCTATCACAGTTATAGCTGCTTCTATATATGCTGCATGAATTATTTTACTATCCATAACATGAAAGTGAAGTTTTCTGATAACAAAACCTAAAAATTTAGGGAAATAAACATTAAAAAAAACTTATAAAATACTTACATAATCAATACAATGAATATGCTCAAAGAAGCTGATAATGTATAATAGTTATGGCAATGATATATGATTCCCTAAACAAACAATGTCTTAAAATATATTATTTAAAATCATAAAATTCAATTTCTTGATGATAAAACCCTTTGAAAATTATACAATTCATAAGTTCACAACGATTAATAAACAATGCGCAATGAAATCCAAATAATTACTGGCATGGTCCCATAAATTTATCCATATATAACAAATATAATCAAACATTAATCGTTAATTAATCAAAGCAAAATAAAACAAGCATATTTATAAATATAGCAAAATAAAGCAATAACTATAGCAACAATCACGTTTTTTTTATGGTGGAGGTGTTATCCACGTTTTTAGACTTCCATGTTTAAATTCCTCTATTCCCTAATTCCCCTTAACTACCTCTCGATTCTCTAATTCTTTAATTTCGTTCTCTAATTGCCCTTAACTTCCTCTCAGTTCTCTAATCCCCTTGTTCTCTAATTCCTTAACTTCCTCTTTCTGTGCACAAAGAAGCAGGACAGATAAAAAATTCAAGGGGCAAGAGGACTAGACCTCAAAGACCTGCTCCTCCTTCCAAATTCTCCTTCCTCGCTCCCCCAGAGTTCTCCTTCCTCGCTCCCCCAACTATTTGTACTGATAACATTGGGACTTGAAAAAAAAAAAAGCAGGGGTTGTTCCTCAACACATAATCCCTCGATCATTGATTCCCCCCATTAACTTTTCCTCTCTCTCTCTCTCTCTTTGTGCTTCCGAGCAGGTTGTGTTATAGAGTAGGGGTTGTTTCTCAACACATAATCCCCCAATCCAATGGCAAAGTTAGGTTTTTTTAAATGAGGGGGAAAATTATTAACTAATAATATATTATTTAGACATGCATTAGAAAGCAATTCAAAACATATATATTAATTCATATAAAGTAAAATTAATTTAAAAAAACATGTCAATTCATTAAAATCAAAACCTATTTGAATTTACACACACACACACACACACTAAGGATGATGAGTGATTAGTACTTAAAAGTGCATTTTTATCAAGGTTTTATATCATCATTTTGCACTTGAAGTATCAATAACTCCTTAACTAAAGCATGTTTTATAATAATATATCTAATAATACAAGATACCTTTAATTTGTGGTAAATATTCATTTTAAATGCAGGCCTATCACATAAATGAAAGGATTGATTGATGAATTTAAGAAATGAAATTGAAAGGA